GAGTAATTCTCACAGAGTAAAAATCAAACAATTGTATTGTGATGTTGTGCTTACTTTCAACTGATATATCTTTTGTTTCATCATTGATTTGATCACTTGTTGTAACATTAATACTAGTTATATTTGACGTATTTGTGGTATCACCTATATAGAAATGAATAGACTACCAGTTAGATGTATACTTTTGTTCGAACTCCGATAAGAAAGTTTGTATTTCTTAAAAATAATGTAGGTCTTTTTTAACATTATAGATTGATGACTAGCATAGCTCTGCATTACGATCTCAGTCTGGGACAATTAACTGAAAAAATGTCTTAATACCTGCCCAAACAATTTTTTCCTGAAATTTCCCGAAAATGGTTAAAAACCTTTGAAAGTAATGTTAAATTAAACTAGCAGACGTCTCATTTGTATAGGACCGTCTGCTTGACAGATCGCTGAAGAATAAGAAATGTAGAAACTCCATAGGTGAGAAATATAAACCATAAGACTGCAAAAAAAGTTGATGCATTTCGAAATGAAGCTGAGCTTTGTAAAAATCATACCGAAACTTATATCTGCATGTGTTAAATCGCAAAATTGTTGTATCCTTCTTTGACGACGATGTTTAGTTGTTCTAGAAGTCATCTAAAAACAATCAATCAAAAATGATAATTTGCTTACACGCACATTTCTTCAAAACTATGATTTTGTAGTTGAAAACAAAGAATGTCATATACAAAACTTAGTTTGCGATTTCTCTATTGCAATTTCTACAGATACATATGTAAAAATTCATAAAGACGTGTTAAAACTGAAAAACAATCGATGTTTTTGTTATTTGTGGAGGATCAATTGAAACGTTTCATCCTATATTCCTATTTTTTTCTCTTACTCTCTACAGAAATTAACTGTATTATAATATTATAATAACTGAAAAAAATTAAAACTCAAAATAGAATTCTAATAATCAGGATTTTTGATACACACTGGACTAGGAAGAGCAAAAGTTTATTAAGTAACTTGAAATTTTTAATGAGTGACTGTCAAAGTGAGAGAAGTTCTGCTGAGTAATCTTTATGTTCGTACGTAAGATCGTGAAAGAAAGTGCACACTAGCACTAACTTCAGATCTAACTAATATAAAATCAAAAGCATTTATCGGATTATATCCAAACATTGGATTCCGTTCGAGAAATGCTTGAGATGGGTGTCCCATCTAGGACGGGATTATCATATATCCATCCTGAACAGGTTTCAAAAATATTAGTCCAATAGAAAGTAGAAGAAACCCATTTAGAACTAATTGTATGGACAGAAAAGCGTTTCAGCAAATCTTTTGCCTGTTTGAAATCGAATAAAAAAAGAAAGTC